ATATGAGCGCCACCCACAGATCCCCTTCCCACATAGCCAGACACATTTTCCATGGAGTAGTATGAGAAAGATGGGGTGGTCATGACCTGTGGTTAAGAACCCGTGCACTAGTTCGATGGAAGGACATGGACTTGCTAATATACAATACTCAATCATTTTCAATGGATCTCTCCATTAGAGTTTGAAGTTATCCCACAGTAGTTTTACCATTTTGCTGCTGAAGGAAGATAGGTACACCAAGTAGTGATTGCTAATAAGAAAGGTTGTCCTTACCATGCACTCTTTATTTCACTGACAGCAGCCAGAGGTACAAGTAATGCAGGAGTCTGTCCAGACTAGCAAGTCCGAGAGGCCGCAGGAGGAAGTCTGGAAAATAATGAAAGAGCTGGATGACGAGAGTCAACGTCGACAGCAGCTAGAGGGGGAGATCAAAACCATCCAGAACGACATCCTCCATCTACAGAAACAGAAGCCCCAGGAAACTGTGCTGAAGAAGGAACTGCTGAAGAAAGTGCCTGACCCTCAGCTGGATGAGAGCTGCCACAAAATGCAGCAAAGCCTGGCAGAAGAGCAACGCAAGAACCAGGTGCTACAGGATGAGCTGGAGGCCCTAAATCTGAAGCTGCGAGCCCTAGAGCATGAGAGGAGGGAAGGGGGCCAGGAGTATATCGTTAAGGAGGTCCTGCGTATTGAGCAGGACAAGGCACAAGCGGATGAAATCCTGAAATTGAAAGAAGAGCTGGAGGACCTCAAGAGGCAGGAAGGAACCAGAGAAAATGAGGTCACGCTCCTGCGCCACCAAATCACCGTGCTGTCTGATGAGAAGAACAAAGAGCAGGAGAAGGTTACTGAGAAGGAGGTGGTGAAGCTGCAGAATGACCCTCAGCTGGAGGCGGAGTTCCGAATGCTGCAGGGGAACAAGGAAAGGGAGAGCACCCTGAGGCAGAAACAAGAGGAGGAGCTCAGCTACCTGCAGGACAAGATGAAACGGCTAGAGAAGGAGCGGGCCATTGCAGAGAGCAAGATCACAGTCAAGGAGGTGCTGAAGGTGGAGAAAGACCTGGCAACAGAGAGGGAGGTGAACGAGCTTCGACGCCAGTATGAAGACGAGAAGTCCAAGGGCCGTTCCAATGAGAGGGAGAAGGATGAGCTGCTCAGAAAGATCCAGGTCCTGGAGGAGGAGAATGCTAAGGTGGTCGTCCAAGAAAAAGTACGTGAGATAGTCCGCCCAGATCCCAAGGCTGAAAATGAAGTAGCCAACCTTCGTCTGGAGCTGGTGGAGCAGGAGAGGAGATACCGAGGTGGGGAAGAGCAGCTGAAGAGCTGCCAGAATGAGCTGGCTTACCTGAGAAACAGAAGCGGACAGGTGGAGGTGAAAGAAATTATCAAGGAGGTCATTAAGTATAAGACCGATCCTGAGACCAAGAAGGAATTGCAGAGACTCCGGGAAGAAATTGTAGACAGGACCCGAGCGATTGAGAGAGCTGATCTGGAGATCTACCAGCTGAAGCAAGAGATTCAGACCTTGAAAGACACAAAACCTCAAGTGCAGATGAAGGAAGTCGTCCAAGAGATACTGCAGTACCGGGAAGACCCCAAGACCAGGGAGGAAGTGGAGTCCCTGAGAGCTCAGCTAGCAGAGGAACAAAAGAAGCAGATTGACTTGGAGAGGGAGAGGCTGCTTCAGGAAGAGAAGATCAGACAGAAAGAGGAGGAACTGTCACAAGTGAAGGAGAAAGTGGTCCAGCAGGAAGTGGTGAAGTTTGAGCAAGATCCTGCCTTGAAAGCAGAGATCAACTCCTTCTCTCAGAGCATTGAGAGTGAGCTGAAGCAGATAGACTCCCTGCGGGAAGAGCTACACAAGCTGCAACAGAGGAGATCTGAGCTGGAGCGTCAGTTGGAGGAGCTCGAGAAAGAGAGGCAGGCCCGCAGAGAGGCTGAATTTCAGGTGCAGAGGCTGAAGGTCAGGCTGAACGAGCTGGAACAGCAGGAGAAGGAGACAACGGAGAGAGTAACCGTGAAACAGAAAGTGATCCTCCAGCAAGACCCACAGCAAGAGAAAGAACACTCTCTCCTCAAGCTGGAGCTGGAGGAAGAGAAGCACCGAAGGCAAGTCCTGCAGGCTGAGCTGGAAGCCCTGAGGAAGAAGCTCCTCATGCTGGAGAAGATGGAGGTAAAGGAGAAAGTAGTCTTTTCAGAGAGCATCCAAGTGGATAAAGGGAACACCGAATACGAGATTCAAAAGCTGAAGAGCAACCTGGAGGAGGAGAGTCGGCGTAAGAGGGAGCTGGATGCAAACGTCAACCGCCTTGAGGCCAAACTATCTGAGGTGGAGTTCAACAATTCCAAATCCTCCAAGGAGCTAGATTTCTTGAGGGAGGAAAACCACAAGCTCCACCTAGAAAAGCAGAATCTTCTGCTGGAAACAAGGAGGTTACAGTCCGAGATTGAGCTCACAGCAACGGAAGCTCAGGATTTACGAAACATGACCCAGATTGACAGCGGGGTGACTCTGGACTCCAGATTCCAGACTTTGGAGAGAGAGCTGGAAGATCTCAAGAAGTTATCCAGTGAAAAAGATGCAGAGATTAAGCAACTTCAGAACCGCCTCAAGACAGTGGCCATCAAGAGAGAACAGAGAGAGAACCACTTGCGGCGCTCCATTGTGGTCATAGACCCCGACACTGGGAAGGAGATGTCTCCAGAGGAAGCTCACAAACTTGGCCTCATCGAATGGAGCTTGTTCGTCAAGCTGAAGGGCCAGGAATGCGACTGGGAAGAGATCTCAATAAAGGGACCTAGTGGGGAGTCCTCCATGATCCTCGACAGGAAGACTGGCAAAGAATTCTCCATTGAGGATGCCTTAAAGAGTGGAAAGTTAACCATGGCTCAGTACGATCGTTATCTGAACAAGGAAATGTCCATCCAGGAGCTGGCAGTACTGGTGTCTGGGAAGAAGTAGTTACAATGTTCCCTCAACTCTATATTGAAACTTTTCTTACAGCAGCTTGCTCAGAGCTGCACCACTTGTTACAATTCCAGATTGCTGCAAATCCTTTATGTCTTCCGAAATGCTATAGCCTTTGCATGGTCCAACATGAGGCTGCCATGAAGTCATGCTGCTTGCTGCATCCATTGCATAAGAGCACTGCCACGCCAGAGGTGGAAAATGCATTTGTCAACATTACATTAACCTTTCCTTCCCCATTACAACCTTACCTAGGTACTCACGCCAACTGAAAACAAAATCATCTTCAAGTCTGAAGTTGTTTATTAACATGTGCTCTCAAATTTAGCAACTGAGAAGAGGCTGCATATCTCAGCACATTCCTTTTTTGTTTTTATGTCAAGTATGAACTTCTCTCTAGAGGGTACCGCAAAGTTGTATAAAGAGCCACTGGAAAGAGACAAAAGGTCAAGACCACCCAGAATAGCAGAGGAAGCCTAGTAAGCCACCCACCTGTATGAAAATCTAGAGAGACACTATCATTATATACAGTGGAATGAATGATGGTATCTTCATCTGAGAAAGGCAGCTAAGTGCACAAAAAATGAAATTTATATATTAATTCATAGTCATGATACTCACATCTAATCAAAGCTGTTTCAGACGGACTTCTGTCACCTCAGTGCCTCTAATGCCAAAGGAGAGGGGGAACAAAAAGAATTGTAATTTGATACAGTAATTCCTAGATTAAAAGGAGGTATTTTCATATGACATCACCAGAAACATGTAAAGAGACGTCAATATTATGTAGTAAAGTATGCTACTGTAACCTAATGCGGAGGTGCCTTCTGAACGGTCGTGCTTACCTCATGGTTAAAAGCCACTCATACCGATATTTTACTGACTAATGTTACACGTTCAGCTATATGTATCATTTATTTGTGTAAGGGAATGGGAAATATGGGGAAATTCTATTTATAGTACAAAATAAAAATGCGGTGGTTTAAATCAGTTTATTTTTCCTTTTTAAATTGATGCCTGCCTTTTGATCTAATACCTTAAAGGAACCCAAATTTCAGAATCAAAGGTGACCTTTCACCCAACACTTACATTTATTTTTTAATATAAGAAACGTGCATGTTAATGTTGTACCTATATCTTTGGAAAAAACACAAATTGCTTGTTGGTCAAGTTTACCGGCAAGAAAGGCATGCAGCTGATCATTAGATGTTGTCCTGACCCTTGCAGCTACTGGAAAAGGCGAATTACAGGCCAGTTTCGCTTTCAGGTTAGAGCTTCGGAATTTCTACCTTACCATGCAGCTCTGCTATCAAAAAAGGATACTAAAGAGGGCGCCTGTGGGGTTCCATGTTTATTGCATCATGGATTTCCTGATCCTGTGTGCTCAGTTTACAAGTGGAAAAGCTTTTCCTGCAATCTCAGTCTGGGAGCTGAAAGGCAAGCTGGGTTTTTCCCACCTAATGGATCCTCCTGGGTAGTAAAGGTTCTGCAGGCCAAATGCTGCCCTTAGTGATACCCACAGGGGTGTGATCTTAATAATGTCCGAGTGCCACTTGTGCAATCCCATTGCTGTTAAGAAACTTACACAGGTGTAAGTGATTGGAACCTGGTACAGAGTTCTGCTCACTTTGCTGGAGCTCTGCTGACTCTACTCTGCAGGGCTAAGAGCACTAAAAATTTATTTTACACCCAACCCTGCTCCCACTGAAGTCAATAAGAGAGTTTTACCATTGACAATGACAGGAGCTACATTGGGCCTTAGGTCACCATTATTAAGCTAAAAGGATGGTCCCTCCCAGCAGATGTAACACACACAGGAACAGGTTTGTTGAGTAAGAAGGTGTCATTCTACTGCAATGGCAATTTAAGAGTTACAGCCGTATTTTAAAAGGACTTGGTCATTTACAAAGCATTGGCCAAAATGCATACTAATAATTAGTGACCCAATGAGTGGTTAGAGGCAGCAATACAGTCACTAAGATGATCTTCCAGTCAATTTACATTTGAAGAGAAACCGAGACTGAAAAGAGCATTTTGGAAACTTTGAAACAATTTATTCAGTTGCTCTGTACAAGATTGACAGTTTTCACACCACCCCCATCATTGTCATCTAGACAGTCCCAACACTCACAACAAAAATAAAGTAAATAGCAGCTCTTACACACAACAGAAACTGCCAAACTAAGTAAGTGCCGGTGGGAGGCTCGCCCCGCACCGTAAAGAAAACAGCTAACGTTGCCTAGTCAAGACAGAGATCCCAGATGCTCTGCTCCCCAGGGCTTGTGATCTCATTCCATATTTCTGCCTTGCCATGGCGGTTTAATTCATTCACTCGTTCATTACAGCATGTAAAGAAAAAAGAAAAAAATCCCACAGAATTTCCACCGAATAAACATTTCCCTGAGGCAAAGGCTTTGCTAAATTCCTAAAACGAGGGCATTCTGCTCCGGCTGCGACACACAAATGTGCATCCCAGCAGAAACACCAAAGTGAAAGCAAAGAGAGGGAGTGGAACCAGTACCTTGGGTTGCTCATTAAGGGCTGGGATCCTGCCAGGTGTTTGAATGCCCTTTCAGCTGCCACTGGCTTCAGTGGAAGTTGAAGTGCTTGGTACCTTTCAGGATTAGGTCCTAAATGGGAACCATGCGACATCCACTGCTCAGAGTCCATCGATAACTGCTGTACTCTATCTTAGTAACTCAAATTCTGTCTTTGGCTCTTTTGCTACAACTTAGAAATATCTTCTTTTCTGTAAACAAATTTGAATTCTGAGCTGCATTTTTAAAGAAAAATACGAACAGTGAAGTGATCTTGAGAAGTCCTTTATCAGTTCCACTTCCAAACATGTGTCTTGGGTCTTACAAAAAATAGAGAAAACTAGAGCTACTATTGGCTGGCCTACTTGATTTCAGTACCCCTCCCAAAGCACAGGAAGGAATTCTGCAAGCTTTTATTTGAAATACCAATGAATAACTTATGGAGCAGTGCTACTATCTCTGAAGTCCAGATAAATTAGATCTGGTTAAAAGGTGACCTGAAAGAAGGGAGATCACAACACCACAACTACAAGTCAATGGGGCTTACGATCTGAGAACCGCAGACTGCCCCCTCAATCTATGCAGGCATATCAAAGGGGACATGCAGACAGACTGAAATCAGCTTACTGGGCTAAAGCTAAAAATATACACTCAGATCCGAGTAGATCTCCATTGCTGCAGCTCTGACAAGTAAATGATTTTAGTGCAGAAGTCATCAAGGGGAGCAATATTCACTTGATTATCAGTGACCTTTGTTAATCTAGATCACCAGAGAGATCATTATTGAAGACCCTAGTAAAGAATGGCTTTAGGGGAGGGTCTGGAACCCACTTGCACAAACTCAGATAAGAACTGGTGCTCTTGCTGGATTTGGTACTGGATTTAAAGTAGCCAAGTCACCATTTAAGTCCAGACAGTGCAGCTTTTGATGTGTAACCATAAAAAGCTCTATTAAATAAAAACAGAATACATATTAAATACAGAGTGATTAAAAAAGAACTGAGGTGCACACACAAAAAATGGCCAAAATGGATGTTATTAGTCCATTCTTGCTCCACCATAAAAGGCACTGGAATTATGTCTTCCTATACATGTAACATGCTGAGAAGTGTTCCAATCAATCCAATGCATTCAAAGGTAATGATAAAACTGAGCACACAAAAAAAAAATCCCTTGAGAGGAAATAAAAATGCAGAAGCATTTCAATGTCCGTGAGTGCATCTAGAAATGTCTCTCTAAGAGTCTTCATTCTCTTCCAGAGGGGAATATCAGGCGATTCATGATAGTCACCATAAAGGAAGTGCTAAGTCCTCCAACTAACTTGAGCACTGCTTTATAGCACAACTGAAAAATTAGGACAGAGTCAATGTCTTTGAAAAGCCCTAGCAGTGCTTGAGTTATCCAAGTAAATCCAAAGCAGGAATAAGCACCTTTCATGTACTCTCCTGGGGAACCAAGGAAGTAACTGAACTCAGGTACTTGGCAGATTTAGACACAGGTGGGGGGAAATCCACCAAGGCTCTTGACTTTTTGAAAGAAAGATGCCCCACCAGTGTTTCCCCACAAGTTCTAGCGCTTTCCAGTGAGGACTGGCAGCAGTGAAACAGTGCCGTAAGTGCTTCTCTCACCAGGGTGTGGCGCAAGGTGGCTCACTTCCTGCAGAGCTCCTCTCTGGATGCCACTGACCAAAAGTGCCAACTCAGTTTCTCCAGCTGCCATCAGGAAAAGAAAACAAAGAGCAGGTGGAAAACAGGCCATCTGCATCCAGTCTTCACGGCCGACTCCTCTTGGTTTGTCCTGGGCTTGCATTAGCTTCCCCTCTTGCAGACGTCACAATTTTCGCTGCTGCACATTGGACCCTTTGCCATGAAGCTGAGACGCATCTGAAAAGAGAATGAAAAAAAAAAAAGGAACAAGTTTCAGTGTCACCATACCCCTAGGCCAATTGTTCCAGTGGTTAACTCCTCACAGGATTCTGTGCACAGCTGGGAGGCGCCAAGATCCCATTGCATGTAAAAGCTATTGGGTCACCAAGGATTCAGACTAGAGCAGTGCTATTCAAAGTGGTGGCCCATGGACTGGTGCCAGTCCACAAGCCATTGGCTGCCAATCTGCGCGCACATTGGAAAAATAAAATTGCCGGTCCCCCACATCAGATAGCTTGAGAAGCACTGGACTAGAAGATGCTGGGGGAAGATAGAGATTTTCATGGACACGTGGTAACTGGGAGTGGTCTTCATTGTGCTTGTATATTACATGGTCTCTGGAAGCAGTAGACCTCTTCTACGGCCTTCCAGCATAAGCATCACCAAGGGCCACAGACGCAGGAAGCTGGGAGGAGGGAGCTGTTAGCCAGCTAGTCTAGCAAGCTATTTTCTCTTCATCAGTCCAAACTAGCCATGGATAAGGGCACTTGCTAACAAATACATGATTTTACCGATTACCCAGACAATCTGGAAATTGTAGTTATTGTGAGTTCAAATAGGACTTTAGTTCCTGGCAATTAGTGGATTTCCGCAACTATAATGAACCTTTTTGTACTTCTGATAGCCCCAAAGAAACTCACTGCACCACCAGTAGTCAGAGTCTGAACACCAGAGGTAAGGGAGAAGGACAGTAGGAGGAAGTAGAGCAAGGAAAAGGGGCTCCACAGAGGAGAAGTGACAAGAGAGAGACAGAGAGTTGAAGAAAGTAGAAAGTTTCCAATCGAGATTACACTAGCATCAAACTAAGGCGTGAACTGGTGTATTTGAAATGCATAGCTTGTCAGAAGTGGTATTGGGCATGGGGCACTAACAATTTACCCTGTACTAGCCACCCCAAGGCAAAGAGGGTTTTGCTGATTCTAGAGCGGACTCATGACACGGATTCTTTCAAAACACGCGGCAAGTAAAGTTAGAACAACCACTGGGAGAGAAATACACGTGCATTTCCACCAACATGCAAATTGATGACAGAATGGCAAACACACACTGCATGCCATTTGCTCAGATGCTTTTGGACAGCTGTTACACACACTTTAATTTAGGATTCCATCAATTCCCAGCACGGCAGAGACATCCCAACACACTGCAGACTATACAGTTTTCAAATGGCTACATTACCCTGAAACCCAATCTTAGGAGGTGCTCCTCTCCAACAGAAAGCAAGCACTGACTGTATCCCTCTTCCCCCCTGCTCCCAGACCCATAAAATGCTACTGCCTTTATGTGGCTTTGCCATGTGCCACACAAGCCAGAGCAGCTATTGTTCTAATTACAAAATGACAGAGAAGGAAAGTCACCTGCTTCTCACAGATCTCCCATGGTTTGTGTTGGTTCTGAAGGTATCCAGCTGGGGTCACAATGAACGTACTCACAAAAAGGTCATGTGACCAACGCTAGGTAAAGCTGTGGCTGAAAAAGAGGCAGCTAACTAGCATGATAATATGCATGGGAGCAGTATTTCCTCCTGGAGATAGCTCAACGCTCTTTAGCGAGGTCACAGGTGACAATTCTCTATGTAACTAGCACATTTAATCCTAGACAGTACTGGCAAGTTATGCAAAACCACATAAAGCTCTTAATCCTGGTAGAGTGGGCCTTTAACATGCACCAAGAACAGAGCCAAACCACTTGAGACACTCAGAAATCCCAAAATGCACCTGGGGGAAGGGGTCTGTCTTTCCGGAATGGAAGATTTCTACCATCTAGTCAGCAAACGCACAGGACATTAAGGACCCTAAACCTCATGAGGCTGGTGAAATGAAGCATCAGCAAAGACTACACTAGTAAAGACAACATTGAAGGCGGTGGTGCTTTCACCCCAAGATGAGCCAGCCATCAAGGCGGAAGATGACTCAAGGCACAAGACAAACAAGACTGTCTGACAAGTTACCTGGCAAACTCTGCGGTAAATGGGTGGACAGGGCAGAGTGTGGGAGTGGTGCTGCATGGTGCGGGCTGGAGTGCAAGCCAGCCAGAAGACCTAGAGAGAAAAACAAAGAAAGGAAGGGGTGGGGGGAAAAAGAACAAATACACATTGAGGACAGAAACAAGCAGAGTAGCTGCAGCCGTTAGAGCCTGTAGCTTTGTCTCCAGTACTAGTTCTGCTGAACAGTGGAAGACAGAGATAGCTGGGACTTCTGGGCTAGCTATAGGTACATGCCTGAGGGCCTCCAAAACCACTGGCTTAAGACACAAACGCATGAACTACAAGCACAAAGCAACAACATGAGAGATGGGCTCATATGCAATGGTCTAACACAGTAGTCCTGATGCAATTCTTACAGCACAGGCATGAGAGACACACACAGGGGAAAACACTCACTGTGGCTGAGGCCATGGTGGAAAGTTCCAGGGGCAGGGCCCGTGACAATTGCATCCTTGGATACTCCTGCTTTGGGGGAGGAGTCCGAGCTGAAGGAGATGACGTGAAGAGGAAAGGAATGGATGGGAGAGATAATCCCCAGCGGGGTGGAGCTCAGGGCACCCGGCAGCTTTGGACTGCTGGACTTGTAGGATGGAGACAGTACACTTAAGGGAGGAGAGCTGGTTAGCAGCACAGCTCCACTGGTTCCTTTCTGGAAATGAAACAGCAAAAGTTAGTCAAAATAGAAACACAATGGTACCTCATCAGCTTTCCCATTGGATGAGGAGAGCTCTGCCCAACCCAACCCCCTCACCCTGCCCATGCCCAAAGCCTCCTCCCCCATACACAGAATGCCTGCCTGCCAGATACCAGAAGACCAGCTCCATAATGCAAACAATCCAGTGTCTGGAGGTTCTTCTGTTTCTGGGAACAGAAGAACAACCACACTGGCCCAGACCAGCAGTCCATCTAGTCTGGAATCCTGTCTGCAGCCGTGAATTGATCCTTCAGAAGGTGTAAACACTTCTATGATTGGCTGTCATGCACGAACATTGCCACACGGGAAGTTTCTTACTAACCTCTGGCTTATGTCCCGAAGCACAAGGGCTCATTTCCAATAAACTTGTATCCTTATCCTACCAGTGTAACTGAAAATATTCTTCAGTCACATGCCTACTTCTCTGATGAATCCTACTAAGCTCTTGCTCTGAGTAATCTGCACGGCATAGAGCTCTAGAGCTTGATTAGAAACAGGAAACACACAAATTGTTCAGTCCATTTAAAATGTGCTCCCTTTTAATTGCATGGCAACTCTCTCTCAGCCCATCCCCTTCTTGTGTTATGAAAAAAGAGTAGATATGAATGGCTGACTTGACAGTCGATTGTTATATGAAGGCATCTAGAATTGATAAGCTTTCTTCTGGGAGTGAAAACCACGGGGTTCATTGCATTAAACACAAGAAGTAAATATGAGAAGTAGCTCCAGGATTATTTAATGAGATCCTACATTGGGTTTACTTTGCACAGTACCTGAATTTTCAGTATGCTGCAGAATTCTGCACAGAACAGGCTGACCTGGATCTGGAAGTGGTCAAGGAGAAGCAGGAGATTGTGGTAGCTGGGTAGGTGACAATTAGAGGATTTTAGCCCCTGGGAAGGGGTGGAGGCAGTTTGAGTTTGTGAAACAAACACATTTCAGTGTCCAGTTATTGATCAGCAGTGAAACCAGTGTTAATACTGAAATCTCTAAGGTGGGAGGATATCAATCATGTTGAAGTCTGGAAAACTAAATTTGTTCCACTGCAACTTTAGATTAAAATGGAAACTGAATTCAATTATAAATGCTGTCATGTTTAAATGCCACTATGGGGAGGGTACCTGTTTGAATTTTATAAAAACTTCTATGGACAAAAAGCAAAATCATGAAAATTAAGGCCCTGATCCTGCAAACACTTAAGCACAGAGGTAAATTTACTCACGACTAATCCCACTGATTTCAGTGAAACTACCTCCATGCTTAACTTAATGCTGCAAATACATATGCACAGGCTTAAAGGGCTAAAATTGCATTTTTATTTTAAAAATTCTCTTTGATCTACTCTAATGCTTTGCCAGTAGAACTGTATTAGTATACTAGTAGGGCTTTGCCAGACAAGTGTGGATGCAGTTTATATTGGCAATACTATGCTTCTCCTGGCATAGTTTATTCCAGACCCCCTGAACAAAATAAGCTACACCAGGAAAAGCATGGTTTTACTTGTGTAACTGTCCACACTGGAGACTTTTGCCACCACACCTATGTCAGTCAGGTGTGAAGGGGTGTGATTCCCAGCCAATAGAGCTGTGCCAGCAGAAATTTGTAGTATAGAACTGGCCTTGGTGGCATAAAATCTTTGATACTTCAAAACAAAGCTTGACTCAATGTTATTCAGACTTTAAATGCATTAAAAACTCATGTTTTTTTTATATATACACACAGGCCGTCTTTAGAAATAGATACCTAAAGTAAGGCTCCTAAGCTCAAATTTAGGCTCCTCTGGGTGGTGTTTTGAAAAGCAACTGGATGATTTATTAGCACCAGTCCCACTTGACTTTAAACTGCAAACCCTAGTGCAAGACTTATAGCCTGCTTGAAGCATTACAACTTTCTTAACTCGTACAAGTTTAATCTATTGGAAAGTGGTGATGTTTGCAAATCTAGCATGCACAATTTGCTTATCTATTTTGTGTCTGAGTTGGTTTTGTTCTCACAGTAAGAATCTTAATGAAGGTCTAGACTTGTCTTTTTTGGCACAGACAAGCTTCTGTAGTGTGAAACTAATTAGTAAAAAAACTTCTCTGTAAAACCTGAAAATCTAAGAGTTAGGAAGTTAATTAAAGAAGCAAGTACAAAAAATTCACTTTGACGATTTAAAACTATAAAATGGGAAGAAAGGAAAGAATCAGCAATATGAAAATGAGAAATCTGATCTCTCTCTTACAATAATGATTTTTTTTTTTAAATCACAATTTTTATCCATCGTGGAAATTTGTCTAGCTGGATTTCAGAGTTTACATCCTATTGAGCTGAATGGGGGAGCAGACACAGACATTTCTTTGAGCTATTGTTTCAGGCTGCCTGCAAATTCAGGCAGATAGCACTGCACAGATTACACTCAAGTCGCAGTTCAGAAGGTTTTCTTCATAACCCATAATGGGCTAAAAACTTTGGTTCTTTTTAAATAAAAATGAAAGCTTAGATTCTGGAGCACCAAATCTGTGGCAAAGGGTATGTTCTGCAGCAAATCCCATGTCCATGGAATCTGAGTACACACTCTCCTGAATCTAAACAGACAGCTTGGGGCAGGACTGTCTTTGTTCAGAGTTTGTACAGCGTCTAGCACAATGGGGTCCATAACAAGGGCTCCTAGATGCTACAGTAACACAAATAAATAACCTCAAGAAACACCTGAAATTCTTTTGAAGCTTTCACTTTAAGGCAGATCTTAGCAAGACATTGCTTGACACAATGACGTTAGGTTGGGCTGTCCCAGCAATATACTTACTGGCACAGAGGTAGAAGACGCCGTGCTACTAACCACAGCTGGCTTTATGGAGGAGGTTAGTAACTTGGCTACCCCCTGAGTTCCTCCACCAGAATCTCCATTTGGACCACCAGGTGGCGCTACGAGAGTCAGCTTCTGAGAGACAGGGGTTTTTTTGACCATGGAGCTTGGGGAGGATCGGCTGGAAGCCTGCCCTGGGGAGGGAGTCTGCACACCCGACAGCAAGCCCCCCGAGGAGGAGCTCTGGTGTGCAGACACTGCGGACGACGTGGAGCTGCTGGAAGAAGCCCCATGCTTGGAGAGGGAGCTGGAAACGAAGGGAGATTTGTAGGACTGCCCTGAAGAGCTGGTGGAGTGCTTTCCTGCGTAGCTTAGGGAAGCCGTTGAGGAGCCAGGGCTCTTGTGGGAGCTGCTAGAAGCTGGAGTGCTGCCCGCAGATGAGACCGAGGAATGGAAGCCCTGAGCTTTGGTCGATGGCTTGATCGGCTGGAGGAGGGAACGTGGGGGCACGGGGGAGACAGACTTGGGGCTCTGCCGGGGAGCCGGGGACGTGAAGCTTTTCTGCTGCTGGCTGCTCGAGTGAAAGACTTTCACTTGGGCAACTGGCAAGGGGGTGGACGTCTGGGGCCCGTGACTCGTTCGCTGCAGGCTGTGGTGCTTCTGTTTGGACTGGTGCACATCGGGGAGGATTTTACTGGGTGACGCTTGGCAGGGCAGCTCTTTGTAACCAGAACTCTCTGCCTTTTTGTCTTGAGAGGACTGGCCCAAAGCCAGGGCCTGTTCGGCCAGGAAATTGAGAGGTGATTGTAGAGAGCCAGCAGGCGGTGGGGTAGGAGAAGAGCTGGACTTAGAAAAGTTCCGCTTCTCCTCTGAAGTTGCAAGACTCATGATCTTCTCTGAAGGAGGCTTTGGGGGTCCAGGGAGGGTGAAATCAGGGCTCCCACAGGCTCGGCTGTTAAGCACAGCCAATTCCTTGGACACGGCTTCCAGGGAGGAGGTTGGGTTACGAATTAAGTCCTCGTCCAGGGAGTCATCCATGCTAAAGGCAGCAGGTGTAGTAGTGCTGCTAGATGCTTGGGCAACGCTGAGACACAAGAGCTCTCTGGTCTGGGAGCTGATGCCAATGGCCACTCCCTGGGGCTCAGAAGGCAGAGAAACCGGGCCACTTGAGTGGGTCAGTGGAACAGACACTAGCGTCTTCTTATCTGGCTTACTGGAGGAGTCCTGCAAGAAAGTCACGAGGAGTGAGATGCGCAGCTACACAGAGTTTACTGGTGAAAATGAATGCTGCCTATTACATTCATTCCGGTGGCAGAAGTTGGGCAAGACACAGCTCAGGAACTTGCCTTGCCCACAGATCCTGTGAGCAACAATTGCAGCTGTACAGTGCTGCAGCTGGTTGCTTTTTTTTCCCCCACTTGCACAATGTATTCAAATTACTCACATAGCCCTGCTGCAAACTACCCACCTGAGTGCCAACCCACGGAACAACCACCCCATGCAGATACCAGACAAAGCTAGAAGGGAACTTTTGCCAGAACAGACTTTCAGTTTCCAGTTCCTTTCTGCTCTAAGCTGGGTTGGAAATACCCCATTGAGGAGCCTCTCAAATGGGGTAAAGAAACTGCCTTTAGAAAGTCAACATTTGCCAGACATTACTGCTGGTATCTCCTATTTGAAGTATAGACAGAGGTAACTACGGGCAAGAGATTTCATGACCGCTGGATTTCAGTGGAGACAAGGAATTGAGGAGTCCTGTTAAAATGTAAGACAAGTCTACAGACTTTGGGGGCCTACAGATTTGGGGGAATCTAGATGGATGGTGGAGGCTTTGCCCTGTTTCAGCTAAACAAACATACTCAATTGCTCTCATGTTACGAGAACCACTGAATACTTCACTTCCTCAGAGAAGGACATTACTGGGGAAACTTAGCGAGTTTATTTGTGTTCCACGGTGGTTCTAAAGCAAGATCTTTTATACCTGTTCTATTAATGCAGCCTTTGCAGAGCTTGCTATGTCTGCTTCATATACAATCATGTTAGTATCCAAATGCCCTGGAACCAGCTGGAGTTTACCTCCACCCCATACATTCTCACAGACAGCATCTGACCTGTGGAGACTAAGAAGGATCCTCCCTCTCTGGTATAACAACCTGATATGGGGACAGTTCAGTGCACATCATAAGCAACATTGTCCCTCCCCATCTCAAGACAGGTAAGTACAGCCTCCGGGAGGCAGGGAGACAACAAAACTCACTTTCACCTTCACTTTTGGAGGAGCCATAACTTTCTTCTTCGCCCTGTTTGGAGAGAGACAAAAGACATATGGGCTCATTGAATTTCCCTGGAGAACAAGCCAATTAAGGAGTGCACTGGGGGCGGTTAGCGGGAGCGCACCAACTGATCTCCACTGAGATTCATAGGAAGAGAGGCAGCTTCTCAGGTTGCTAAGACTCAAACCACATGAAGTTTGCTATTGCTCTAGAAAGTCCTGACTTCCATTCAGGAGCCCAAGGAAAGTGAGGGAGGAGGCAGAAGTGTTGGTGGAGCACTAGTCACTGAAAGCCATTGGCCTGCATGTCCTGAACCAGTTATCGAGTCAGTGTTGAACTGAGTACACTGCAATAACACATTCCAGAAGTCACAAAGGAACTATAATAAGAGGCCCGCAGAGAGAAACTGCCACAATCGTTTGTGCTCAGGCCAGCTACCCGGGATGCCAGGAGAAATCATGGATCCAGAAGCATCCTCAGAAAAACTCTGTCAGGAAGGTTCCTTTAAGTCATTAGAGCAGGCATCATCTCAGCTGAATTCCACATGGTTCTCCTGGCAAACTGGTATCCCTCCTTCTTGCCTGCAATGAGCCTTAGCTACCATGCTTATCCCAGACCCTCCTTCAGCCAGGCAATAAGAAAAAGTCCACATTGAATGAAGACCAATAGAGCAGGGTGCCATCTGCATACTGATGGAACCAAGCACAAGCTGTATCCATGCTCCCTCCAAGGGTATAGCATACAAGTGGCCCTTTCTGTTGAATGATTAAATTCTAGGAAAGCCCAGCCCAGGTTAGAGTTCTTATCTGGGAGAAATCTCAAGGTGAACAAGGTGCACGCGAATCTATTGTTGGAGGTGAAGTTATATGCAAACTATAGCTACGCTACTTCCCAGAGACGCTCTCCGCTCATGCAAAGCCAAGCTGCATCCGGAGAGAGCTGAACAAGCAAGACTGCAGGCCTCACGTAGGAGCAAAGAACGAACGGGGAGAACTTTATTTGGTAGCAACCAACAATACAGTACAACAACAATCAAGGAAGAGGGCAAGTGCTGCAAGATACTCACAGGATTGATGTCAAGTGTCCATGCACACGCCTGCTCTCCTTGAACAGAGTCCTGCAAAGGAGAGAGAGCCGTGATCAGTTCTATCCAGCCGTGCTCACTAGAATGACAGGGATCACAGGAGACAACGGAACTCTGCTGTACCATGATGCATGCTGTGGTGAGCCAAACTGCCAGAGGCAGGAAAAGCTGGTAACTTGGCACCCAATTCTTCTCAGGAAGCCTCTCTCCTACTGCAACAAAATGTCCCCATTCAAGTCCTTCTCTGGGGTGGGGTGGGGGCTACTCTCTCCACAGGCTCCAAGTCTATTAATTATTACAACTTCACAGCGAGCCCTCTGCTACTGGCTAAACCAACTGGCGTGGCAATACCAACACCAATTCAGCTAACAGAAGGATAACGGCAGCTGCTCCTCTAGATCAGTGGTTCTCAACCAGGGGTATGTGTACACCTGGAGGGTACACAGAGGTCTTCCACGGGGCACATCAACTCATCTAGATAGTAGCCTGTTGTAAAACTAGGCAAGATAAAAATCACTAGCGAAGTCAGTACAAACTAAAATTTCACACAATGACTTGTTTGTACTGCTCTATATACAATATTTATATTCCCATTGATTTATTTTATAATGATATGGTAAAAATGAGAATGTAACCAATTTTTCAGTAATAGTGTGCTGGGACACTTGTATTTTTAGGTCTGATTTTGTAAGCAAGTAGTTTTTAAGTGAGGTGTAATGTGGGGGTACGCAAGACAAATCAGACTCCTGAAAGGGGTACAGTAGTCAGAAAAGGTTGCGAGCCACTGCTCTAGATGTCTGGGTAAAAAGATTACAAACATGCAGTCAGGGTTTATGTTTTTAATATGTCTGCTCCTCTGTTATTAAATGTATTTGGCTGTTAAAACAAACTAAAAAAAAACAAATGCCAGCTTACTTTCACTAACTGCCGCTCTCTCAGCTCAGACTCTAAAATACACTCGGCACGCACCACCACGTCTCTGAACTCATCCACACAATCTCTATTCTGTCCACATGGAAGCTCCTCTTCAAGATTATCATCATTTGTATTTTCATAGCACCTAGGACCCCCACTGTGCTAGGTGCTGTACAAACACAGAAGCAAAAGCCAGTCCCTTGCCCCAAAGGGCTTACCATCTAAGTATTTTAAACAGGAGACAATGGGTGGATGCTGACAAACTCGGGAAAACAAGGAAACAAGAGACAATATTGGTTCACATGATACGCGGAGGTCTCAGCACACCAGTAGCCTAACCAAGTTCTGCCTTCTTGTGTACAGTGAATTGAGTTGTCTTGTATATAAACTGTACACAGTTTGCCTAATGTTCCTATTCATTTTCCCCTGCCTTCTGTCTGCTTGTCTGCCCTTAGCTTAGCCTGTGAGCTCTGAAGAGCAGAGAATTTTGCTTGAGCATTTGAAAAGCAACCGGGAAAAGCAATTTTTGTTCATAGTCACTGTCTAGTCAATTTCACGTCTAAGTTCTCCTGCACTCAGTCGCAAATTGCAATGGATACTTTACTCCTAAACTGCACGAAATGCTTGTTTATACATTGAAATGTTCACGGTTTTCCATGTTTATTTATTTGGAATTCAGAACACAGCAGTGGAACTATTTCTATTACTCTCACATAAAAGCTAATGTTTTACAAACCTCAAATCCAGCAGCGTCCTTCTAAGCTCCGGAATCCTCCTTACCCATTTTCCAATCCCACTGCCGAGCTCACGTTCTCTGAATGGCACATTACAAATGTCCACACATTTGTGAACCTCCTTTCTGTGTACAACTGCAGTACCTAGGCATGCAGGTGTCCAGTTAGACCCATTACTGACCATTCACACAATGGTTATAAAAAGCTGGGACCTACTTCTCCCCTTCAGACCAACTCACTTCAGAAAAAGGGATGAAGAATCCCCATATTAGAGGTTTACCACTGCCTTTCTTTTAAGCTACTGAGCAAAACAAGCAAGAGAACAGCCAATAGTAGCACCAAAGTGACTCCACTTCCCACTCACGTGCTGGCTTCCTCAGTGGAATGTGTAAGGAGGAAACACAGCCTAGCAATTAAGAGTGAAGAGCTCAGGTTCAGTTCCCACTTATGGAACAGACTCACTGACACACCTTGGGCGAGTCACTTAATCATTCTGATGCTTCTTCCCTTCTGGTAGATGGGGACACAACTGAGACATGAGACCTCACTCATGTCTGACATACTGCAAGATCCTCTGAGATAAGGAACAACAGAACGCAAAGTGTTGACAGCCTCACTCTGACTCACCTGGACTGCATCCAGCCCTTCGGCCAGAGGGGTTTGACCTCTGCATCTAGAAAGGTCTTCACGTAATCCTCCAGAGACTGAGCCTTGTTCTTCTCCAGCTCATAGCCATCCAGTTTAATCTTCACCACGTGGCAAAGCAGCTCCCTGAGAGATGGGCAGATTCAGACCAGGTTACCCACAACAATTTCCCCCGGAGTGCACTCAATTAATCAGAGTTGAGTGAATATTTTATCAGTCTCCTCACATTAGGATTTGCCATTCTGGGTCAGACTATGGACCAGATCGAGGATCACAAGCCCAGAAGTTCCCAAGTGGTGATTCTTCAGAGAAGAGTGACACCTCCACAGTAATGCACCCAGCCAACTGGGCAGAGTGGGTGAGTAGGTGTGAGAGTAGATACTTCCTAGCTCCCGCAACTTAATACCCTGTGGCAGAAGATGTGGTTGCCCTCTGCCATAACTTTAGCTGTTATTAATGGCCCTGAAATTAAGCCAGTTTGTCTTGATAACCAACTGCAGCAGTTTGTTCTAGAAGGCAACTAGATGCTGTGTGAAGTGAAGTTTCCTTTATGTTCTAAAGGAACCAGCCCTTAATATAATGTTGTGCCCTTGTTATGGAACAAAGAGACAATGAGGGGTTGATCAGTTTTCTCTTTGCCCTTTATCATTTTCCCCTTCAACCATGCCACCCTACCCATACTCTTCTTTATCAGACTCTAGAATCCCAGCTGCTGCATTCTTACCAGCAGTTTTAATTACCAGCAATCTGGTCATTTTAGAATCTGTAGGACCTCATGTCCTCAGTGTAGCTCCTTCTTTCCCAAAAAGGCTCCCTATTATCAAATATCTTTAAACTTCTCATCTAGCCACTATCTTCGCATCTACCCATTGAAGCCCCTTACTGTCTCCTGAAGAGCCAGCACCATGCCTGGAAGCGGGAGCATTTTAGAATACACGCAGAATCTGAGACTAACAAATGTTGCACTAGCCTCATAAAAGATTGCAACACCAAACCTCTGAGCAGACCCTGAATGGATTCAGTATTTAGGGTCAGACACACTCAGAAAGCCAGAGATAAAACAAAGTCACACTGTGTACTCCCAGCTCCATCAAGCTCAAGGGTCTGGAATGGAACGAATGGAAAAGATTCGGTCAAAGACTCAATCTGTCCAAACCTGATTTCATCGTTCCACTGAAATTTCTTCCGAGGTCCCATTATCCGCTTCCCTCCCTTCTCCTCATCATCCTCCTCATCAGAGCAAACCCGGTCTCTCTGCTCCTTGTCCTTTTCCTCTTCCAGCATCCTGAAAATAGAATGGAATCAGTAAACTGTGGAACTCACTGCCACAGATATTACAATGTAGAATGATTCAGAAAAGGACTGACATGGATATGGACAACAAGAACATCCGGAGTTATAGAAAGCGAACATAAGCTATGGAAGAGATATTAATCCTCATGCTTCAGATTTTAAAACAATCTCTAACAACTAGAGATTAGGAGGTTTCTCGCACCTTCCTCTGAAGCATCTGGTGCTGCTACAGCAGAATCCCCTAACCTCTGGTACTCTACAGGAATGCTACAGCAAGACCACAGCATGAGGGGCAAGGACACAGCTTGACAACCCTTGTGCCCTTGAGAAATTTTCCATCTAGGCTTAAACACATAAACAAAAGACTGAAAAGAAGTGAAAGGCCACAAGAGCAACCTGCAGGTGGAGGGTACCTGCTGAGAAGAGATACAGATTGATATTGAGAAGAAAAGGAAAAGCTTACTTAGCAAACTTGGCCTGGGTATGCGCTTGACACTCCTCCTGATATTTAGCCATCTGCTCTGGCATTGCCCGCCCAATGGCTTCCTTTAGCTTCTGGAGAGGCTCCTTCAGTCGGCCACCCTGCAAAGAGCGACAGGACACGGTGAGGTTTCACACAGAACTTTCCATTCAAGAGATCCCATAGTTCAGAGACAATAGCAGTGTTGTAACGGTACCACTAGACATGGTGACTGCTATATGCTCAGCAGAGGACAATAGTGCCTCATAAAAAGAAGAAAATTCCTGATCTCCAGAGCATGGTCAAAGTGCAAATTAAAGGATATTGTGCTGCTTCTAAGATCACCCACCTGTTCGTAAAGATAAAGCCTGCGGGCACGTTTGACCAGTGTGTCTTTGCTGCAAGGAAGGAAGGAGGCCAGGTGAGCATACACCCCGGATCGGATCTGGCTATTCAGCTCACGGGTCTGCAGCTCTATGCTGAAGAATAGGATAGACAGACTATTGACTGTGATTTCAACATGGTTTCCTCAAAGTAACACAAATATTCTGACATGAAGAAAGTCACATAATACTAGGGATGTGGTGAGCTGACTCCAGGAATCACACAGTCTAGGCTTTTCCACTCAGTACATGCCCACCACCATCATAACGGAGCACATAACAAGCATATTACAGCCAATATAGGTCAAGAGTGTCATTTCTTCCATACTTCCTTCAAGGCAGTCAGGACCATGATGACCAATGAAGCTTTAGGCAATGAAACAAGAAAGATATTCCCCAAGGAGCACATTACCCTAGTCAAAACAGATCACAACAGAAACACTGCAGCCTAAACCAGAGATAACATACTTTTCACGTTTCACCCTTCATCCAAGGCTCTCAGAGCACTTTGAGAAAATTACGCTGGATAAGACATGTAGGTATTCTCCCCGTTTTACAGATGGGTAAACCTAATATTCAGGGTGGTTAAGGGAATCACTCCAGTCACGGAGAAAATCAGTGGCATAGCCAGGAATTGAACCCAGCAGCTCCAGCTCTTAGTCCGCTCTTCTAACCAGGGGATACTCCCTATACCGTTCTGGATTGGATAGCAAGGAATAGGACGACTAAGAGCCCTCATGGAAAAAGGCTATTGTAATTAGAAGAGGCCACTTTATTTCCAGTTATAGATTTGATTCAATTGACCAAGCATAGCACATTTCAACAGTTTATCTTAAACACCAGCTGGAGATGGAAACAGGATGACTGGACACACCTCTTAATTCTCCCCCACCCTCACCCTCACCCCCACCCCAAATATTTGGTATTCTCCAATTTAAGGCCAATTATGGAGTACATCAGGGTTAGTCCCAACACACCTAGGAGGAGCTTACACAGGGCAGCTCCCCACCCATGCCCCTCAACCCTAGAGCCAGGAGATCTTCTCCCCCTAGATTTACCACTGGAGCGTGTTCTATATAACTTTCTCCCTTCCCCAGAGTTGTGTCCCCTTCCTCTATATTAATGGCAGGTAAGAGATGAGGATACTTACTCCAGTATGATGTTATTGATATCCTGGGTGAAAAACCTCTGTTTGCCTTCTCCTTCTGCAGCTCTGGCAGCCTGGTTCACAGTAGACAATATGAGCTGTTAGCTCACAGACAGATACAAAGAGGCACAAGTAATCAAATGTTTTTCAAAGCAGCCTCAGGGATACTGTAATAAAACTCTATCAGCAACTTTATTCCAGGGAGACTCTGCATCGGTTACATACCGAGACTCCAAGTGGAAGTAACACCTACTTTGCATGACATGCACTTCCATGAATGAGCTCGGATCGTGTCCCACTTGTCAGAAACTGGAAGGCCTGCCCCAAAACCCCAGCCAATCAGCTAGCTGTGCTAGGGCCCCTCTAGCTGAAGCTTCACCATTAACTCTACACGGGGGATGCAATCACTAACTTCACATGGCAGCTGAGTTTTGCTCTATTTCACTGGAATATACTCCAAGTAAAGCACACCAATGTGAGATATGCTCTGCTTTCCCCCAAGTTGCCCTGGGCCTCTCTGCTTTAGGAAGGGGGTGTTCTCACCCCCTTGCTCTGACCTGCACATACCGCACTACCTGCTCTCACCTCTACACCGAAAGCATGTGGCTCTCCTGAGAGGTGCTCCAGAGTAGAGTACCAGTGTGCTGGGCCAGCATTCCAAGGAACAGCTGAAAAAAACACTACTCCAGTGCAGCCCTGCATTTCTGGGCCACCCAGCCACTGCCTTCATTTGAATGGATGCAGGGGAAAATGTGTCTGCCAATGCACATGGGCCTTCCAGCAGAGGAGGGTTATAGAAACTGAAGAGAAATGGAACCAGTACTGCTCATTAACAAACCCAGCTGGAAGCACCAGAGTACAAGAGGAGATATGCTGTGAATAAACAGCACCCACCAGCACTGAAAGCAATGCAAGCCTGTACAATGTGCCAGGTAAGGCACCACTTCCTCTGCTGCATAAGCCCCAGATTTGTAGTGTTCTTCTCACACAACTCCGCACATCCAATGCGGACAGTCTATAATTAAATAATCATCCAGGAAAACCAGGGGCACTCTAGCATTTCCTCTTAGAGACTTCAGTCAATCATTCATAGAAAAGCAAAATGTTTCATGAGACTGTGTTGATTTCCCAAATTTGTTCTACATTAAATTTTGTCAAAGGCGGTTTTGATATGCTCAAAATATTCCATTTCGACCTCTTTGGAATGCAACACTTGAATTTTCCATTTCGAACTGACTTTTCATTTCAATTGTTTTATTTTACATTCTATCAGAATGAAATCTTTCAATTGCACCAAAACAAAATTCTGGGGGGGGGGGAGTAGGGGTGGAAATTGTTATATGGGAAATTTCAAAATTATTTGTTTTCATTCTGTTTTGGAATGGAACAATATTTTAGAAAAAATCAAAAGAATTTCCTGCAAAATGGAAAATCTACTTCCTGCCAAGTTCCAGTTTCTTACTGGAGAGCAGGAGGTCTGGGGAGTTCAATCCGCTGGCCTGCCTTTTTGGAGACAAGATCCTTTGCATTAGCCATGAGATGGACTATCATCCCACAGATCTGGCCCAGTTCTAGTTTTAACAATTCTCCTTTATTTTACTCTAAACAATTGTACGATTTCTCGGTTGAGGCAAGAATGAGGAGAGGGGAGAGGAGACGAGACTCAGACCCTATGCGCTCTCTCATTTCTTGGCAGCTTCTCAGCAGGTCCCAGCTTGCCTTCCTTTCGTATGTACCTAATAATGTCAACAGAAACACCTCGGGATAGAGGAGTCCCTCCCCACTGTCAAGCCTCAGTGAGGTGCAGTGTGAATTCATAGATGTGGGGCTGGAGGAAGGGCAAGATAGCTGGACTGTAAATATGATCCCATCAAGCCAGAAGCAGACAATATAAGGAGTCCTGCCCTCTGTTCATCCCCTCCATGCCCTCACTTCTCAAGACTGTCCGCCCTCCCAACCCTGCCCCAGAAAACCCTCCAGCTCAATAGCCAATGATAGTTCTCACTTCAATGCACCTGTGAAATTGAGAGAAGCACTCTCCCGCCCTTGTGGCCAAGCAGAGGACTCCTGAGCAACTAGCACACCTGGTATGTTTCAACAGCAGCCTTCCCCTGGGAACAAGGAGCAGCTACTTGCACCTCAGCGCAAGACGGCTCCAGGGCACAGTGTTTTATTTCATGCTGCAGCAGTCAGACCCGCACTTGCAGTTCGGGTAGCATACGCAGCATGAGACAACGACTGCCTCTGGGAAGCAGAGGGGCCTCTTACTTAACTCTAATTTGGTTTCTCCCAGTCCCTACTAGGCCATTCTGGACACTAGGCAATAGGACTTCCTAGCAGAAGACAGAGGACCAACCAAATGTGCTCCGTCAACACATACAGATGGGTCAGTTCCAGCCAAGGAATCCTGTACAGGAAGTTTCCCAAGTAACAAGAATTGCACACACAAAAAATCAGAGCAATAAGAATGTGGAACAATGGTAAAAATAACTCAAACAACTGGAGGAGGGATAGCAAGAAATTATAGGTTGTGGCTGAGGTCGCCTAGTACCATTTCTGTGCTGGTGAGTGGAACTATACAAGAAAGCAAGGGCTGGGATTAACCAGGAATTACACACACTGAGTTAGCCAGCCCTAGCAAGGGGAGATGGCTTTGAAATCACTTATGCTGATGCTTCAAGCTCCAGGCTGGTAAGGGATGAATGAGTAAGGAGAGGTCCTACATTCCTAAAGTGACCCCCAGCTCTGATAGCAGCAGCAGGCAGATGGCCAAAAGACACCACCACACAGATAGTAGACAGACGAAAAATAAAAATTATTTTCTAAAAAGAAAAGCAGCACTATGAAAATCCTACCAGGGAGGAGAGGGTTAAAACCAAAAACTCAAAGGAGGGAAAAGAAGAGAAGAATGTGTGAAAGCTTCCATTCGACAGAGGGATGCTCCCAGTTGCTGATATGGGCAGAAAACTGGCCTCTTTTAGGGTGTGTGCATCCAGAAGTGTGGTCTTTGTCCACCTTCACCTGCTAACAGGGTCTGTTCTCCAGAGTCCAGACTGACCAAGGGGGCTTAGGAAACACAAGTTTGAAAATGCAACTGTTTCTTGCCCCCTAGAAACATAACCCAGCAGCGACCCTGCTTTTCTACTACACTGTGAAATGTTCCCCCATAACCACACAGTAATTGGCCATCACACAAACTCGCAGCAGTGTAATAATTAACTCTGTGTCAAGGGAGCCATTGTATTACTCACCACTAGATAACATACACTCCAGGGACATCTGTTCCAGTTATCCATTAACAGCAAAAGTAACAAATGGCTACCTCCATGAAAAGTTCCATGTCATTTTATCACCCATACTTTGCTGTGGCAACACCTTGCCGAACTTTCTATCCTGTGATGCCTCAGTGCTGACAGCTCACCACCACTACAAAGAGTTCAGGTTTCGAAGAGGGACGTGCTAATGAAGAGGAACTACCTCAACAGACATGTAAGAGCACATGCTCTAAGATGGTGACTGTCCCACTGTTCTACATTAGGGTAAGAGCAGAGGTTAGGACCTGAAGTCTAAATTTAAATATTAGTAGCAGGACAGAAATGTCACCATGACATGTCCATAAACAAATGGCACGACAGCTCTTACAGAAGCTGAAATACCAAATGGTTTTTAAAATGCAATTCCCTAAAGTATCCTCAAGAGGCTCAATGTTTACTACCTCTCAAAATCTCCATATCAGTCTTCTAGAATTAAAAGTACTCTTTCCCTTCTCCCCCAATGGTCAGTGCCACACAGGTGGGATCTGAAAGTCAAGCTGGGTTCTTTCTTTCCATCTCAGACTTCTCTGCCACTGAGAGAGACCCGGCGGAAGTGTGGTAAGATATAGTTAAGCCTTAACTGAGGCATCCACCTCTGTGCATCTCAAGGTGAAGATTCTGTAACTGGAGCTGAGTTAACAATGCTAATAAATCCTCATTCCTGGATATATGGGCTCTACAATGTTACAAGATGTCAAGAAAAGCCAAAACTTATTGCTGGCATCTGCTTGTTTTAGTGTACAGGAAGCTGAATGTAGCACCACTTCAGAGTCCTATTTCTCACCACCACTGGATTTAAAGGATATTATCCTGCAACTTGGCTTCCAGCTTCACTGCCTCCTATTATAAGCCCACTCAGGTTAAGTCAGTCATGGAAATTAGAGATGGAACTGACTTATTAGATCACCAAGTCCCTGTCTCTCCATGACAAGGATAAAGGTTATGCTTACCAACTACTGAATGTAGTACGCTTGAGCTAAGCAGCATTTTAACACCATCTCAAAGCACTGAGTGCAGAAGAAGTGCAGCAAAAGCTGGAGTGACCCCTAGCTGGACTACACCTGGCTCTACACACAGTCCTTCACTTCCATAAGCGGGGGGAACTATGTGAAGTGAAGCCAATCCTATGTCAGACAGAGGCCCACCAGCTGGTGGAGCTGCAGACTCGCCTGTGTACGAAACAGAAGAGGCTTGTCCTCCTCCATCAGCTGCACAATCCATCCATCCCCTACTGAGCAGTACACCCCATGCCTAATCTAGCTGCAATACCTGAGTCAGCTCTTTGATGCGTTTCTCCAGTATGGCTGGTACTCCATCTGGGAGGGAGGGTGGCTGTTTGAACTCCTGTTCCAAGCCCATCCCAAGAGGGTCACTCCCATCTTCCATGTCATGGAAAGGACTCCCTTCTGGAGATTCGTTGAAGAGATGCTCCAGGTCTAAATCGGTCAGGGAGTCCATGGCAGTGGCGGCCTGAAGCAAGTCACTGTCACTGGCGTGGCCAAAGAGAGATAGCAAAGGATCAGACATAGTCTCCACTTCCCGCGGGGCCGGAGCTTCTGCTGGTGAGGGTGTCACTATCTTCTGCTCCTCATCTCTCTTCTTCTGAGCTTCCTTCTCCTTCTGGAATTTCTTCAGCATCTCTTTGACACTCAAAGCACCTGAATATTTCTTCTTCTTCTTCTCCTTACTGGCATTCAGTGCTGTGAAGCTGTAAGCAAGGGAAAAACAAGAACATCCTTATGACAATAAGCCCCATAAAGGGAAGGGAATCTCGCAAGAAGAGGGGAGGAGAGAGGAAATACCTTTGTACTAGCTCAGAGCATCAACCACGCATGCTGATCTCCAGATGAAACTTACCCAGGACCTACTCTGCCTTACCCCTAGTTCCCCCAGAACATGGAGCTACTGCCTCTAGAGGCCACTGCTAGGAATTCACAAAAAGAAAAGGAGTACTTGTGGCACCTTAGAGACTAACCAATTTATTTGAGCATGAGCTTTCGTGAGCTACAGAAGTGAGCTGTAGCTCACGAAAGCTCATGCTCAAATAAATTGGTTAGTCTCTAAGGTGCCACAAGTACTCCTTTTCTTTTTGCGAATACAGACTAACACGGCTGTTACTCTGAAACCTGCTAGGAATTCGGCACTGTGTTACTGAAAAGTACAACTTTGTACAACACCAAGTGTTGATAGTGACTCAGGGATATTCCTGTTCAACATACTATTTTTTTTAGATTTACCTGACTATTAAATGTCCTCCCTTCTAGTTCTAGCACATAATAAGTTCACCTCCCATTTTACAATCCACTAGATTTCTTGTACATACTTGTCTGATCATTCTTATGTCAGACTTCATGAATATGTTTCCCACGGAACAGCAGTTAAGTGGGGAGTGAAGATGTTTAACATGACTACCCTCAAACACGTTACTATATCACAGAGGAAACAGCTGACAGACCATGGGAAATGACGGATGGTCCAATGCACACCAGCCACCTTCAGCAAGGAAAAGCTTAGAACGCCCATTACAACACTGCTCTAAGCTCTCCACTTGCTCCCCATTTGATTCCATCACCACTCTGAGGTCTTGGCCCTAATGTTAAGATTCTTCATGCGCTACAGTGTAACTCTCTTAGAGCCTACCTCCCCATCTATGGCCCACTCACCATAAGCATTCCAGGTGAAACTCTTGTGAGCTGTGTCTTAGAGGTGCAGGGAGGGCAGGAGATTCTTGGTGCAGGGCAGATGTGGAATTCCTTATACCAATGATAGGTCGTGCATAGCATTAGGCCCTATCTCATGCACAAGTCCTCTCTTGGTGATGGGACCTGGTATGGTGGAGCTTAAATCTCCTGCTCCATCAAGGTATGCTTTTAATTAATCAGGTGCATGCACCCCAGATAGCACAGCAACGAATGCACTAGCAGTGCACAAATAGAAACTGAAACCATTTGTACTAAAGACTGAAATATGAGAAGAGTTGATTTGAAAGAAGCCTTTTGAACATTTCCCTTCTAGTAGCACCACCACATCAAATTCCCTTTTTTGATTGACTTTCAAGGTTCCAAGCACTCAACATGACAGGTCAGACAGCTTTTGAGAGAGACACAGGACTGGAACCTTGCCAAAAATGAAACAGCACAAAAGAAAAGAAAACACAGGGAAATAATTAAAGCGAAGGGGGAAGAGACCAAGGGGAAAGCGCATCGAGCCAGCTGCAGAGAGGGGAGGGGTGAGTGGGGGAAGAGAATAAGGGAAAGAGCCTGTAAGGCAAAGAAAGCAGATACAGAAATCAAAGCAAGTAAAAACTGCAGCTGTTAGGAAGCATTAGAACACTTATAGTGTCAAAAGGAACTGGTTACATTTGTAGCCCAACAATGACAAGCCAGTTTCAAAGGAGAGAGACTAAAGAGAGCAAGCACTCAAAACCAGAAATGCCTTCCACATCTGCCTAGGGGTGGCATCAACACACTGCTTTGCATTTCAGTTCTGATCACTTGCCCCAGCTTTCTAACACCTAACACTTCATGCTCCTTCCCATCCTTCCCTCCCTTGCTCTCCCCATTTCAATATCCATTATCCTCCTTTCACTCCCTCTTCTACACTTACCCCCTCATGCCATTCCCCCTCATCCATCCCTGTGCCCGTCACAAATAGAGAGAACACAACGAATGAAAAGAAACGCAGCTAACAAGCCAGGTGCCCCTCACTGCCCCAACCCCTTTGCTTGGATGCTGGGCCGTTTCCCCCTAAACCTGCATCTGGCTTTTTGCCCACCTGGACTGTAAATTCTTTGGGGCAGGGAAGCATCTTCCTAGGAGCTTATCCAGTCCCCACCATGATAGGCTCGTGTCTTGACTGGAGCTTTTGGGCACTACTGCAGTACAGATAAATGCAATCTGGCCTCAGAGAGGCGGGGGTAGACTGGCACCCAAGAACTTCCGTCGCCCCCTGAATACATAGGGCTCCTTCTCACCCGGCTTTGGGGAACTTGGATTTTTTTGACTTCTTTTCCTTGTCATAGGAGTCGTCTTTCTTCTTCTTCTTCATCTTTTCACCTCCTTCTTTCAACTTCCGCTTCTGGGGATTAAACACAAACCAGAGTCAGAGAGGGTGGGCTGCACAATGGTGACCTCTTGTCCCTGGGAGGCCCTTCTAAGCCCTACTTCCGATCTGCCACTAACGGCCTCTGAATGTCTCAAATCAACCCCCACTGGATACTAACCCACACCACGTACACATAGCACAGCACATAGCTACTGCCCGCTCTAGCGCACTATCTTCAGCTCTTCTGGGATCCCTCTAGCTAAGCCCAGCACCACATGAACGAAGACAACTGAATTTCCCATCTCCCTTTTATTAAGGTCCGTTTAGTGCTGGTGAAATGTGCCTGTTTGATAGCCCTGGAGGTTTAAACCCTTCAAACAGCAGGTACCACAGGGCAGTAGAGCAAGCTTCCCCAGCAGAGCCCTCCCTTCCCAACATACCTCAGCACCAATGTGAAGGGCTCATCCCTGGGGCAAGAGAGGAGGATATTTCCACTCCCACCTGAGCTTCCCTGCTAAGATTCACCAGCTCCTAAGGGTGATAATTGCGGTGCCATTTCTCTTCTAGGAACGAATGGAGACCACCCACTCGTTCTACACAAAGACAGCTTTCCTTGGGTTACAGCCAAACAGGATAAGATTTGAACCAGTGATCTGGGGCTAAAAGCTCCTCATATCTCCATAACCAAGCCCCCCAAACCAGCCAGAAACCCAACCCAAAGTTACAAAACATTATTTCTCCGGCAGCAAATCCAACCTATCCACTGAAATTTAATGACAGAAAATACTCCCTAATTGCAGAATCTCTGACCTTGGGAGATTTCTTCTTTTTTTCTTTGATAAAGTCATCCTCCGATTCAGATGCCTGTCGGAACTGCAGCGTTCCCGAGTTGATGTAAAACCCTCCATACTTTGTAGTTAGAGAAGCTGGAACAAGCTCGTCGTACTGGGAACAAAAGAAAGAACCATCTATTAGTGGTGTAAGTTATTCTGTTCCCATGTTAGATAGTAGCAGGATGGCACGCTCCCACTCCCCACTAACAAGTCTCCTTGTGGGACAGCGTGTCTGAGAACTTGGTATTCTTCCACCCTGCAGATGCCCCTGGAGTTGTCATTGCACTGTCCCAGCATGCTCCTTCCCTGCACTGCACTAACATTCTCCCACATGCCCACCTGCAGCCCTAGAAGCAGCTGAATTTATAGCCCTTCATTCATTACTCACCGCTTCAGAATTATCAATGAAGGAATCAGATTCGTCGTACCCATACCCCATATCAATCAAGTCCTGCATACGGTCCTTCCTGCGTTTCTTGCCACCCTGAAATGATAGAGATCGATCACATCCCCCTCTCTCCTCAGTCTATTGCAGGGACCAGTCCTGACACAGGAGGCTGGCACTTCTTCCCAGCCTAGACTGAGGTAGCACTCCTTCTTTTCACTCTTCACATCTCCAGGAGGGGGCCTAGCTAGGTGAGCACCGGGGCTGGATCCCAGGCTTCTCACACATTAGTACAGACCTCCTCCAACAGGAAGGGGCACTACTCTCTAATCATGTAACCAGAGTAACATTGAGTTGAATTTATTTCTCCTCCATTGGCATGAACGAAACAGCAATACAAGAAAGGCAGACAGAGACCTTAGTACCAGTCTTTAAAAAGGCACTCAACACCTACAAGCCCAACCCAAAGTGATAAAAAACCCGTGCTTCCTCCCTAGGCCATGCCACTAAAGCCACCCCCTTAGAACAGATTAACCAGTGGAACAAGTTACCAAAGAAGATGGTGGGATTCTCTACCACATCATGTGATCTATGATTCTATAGAGGTTTTTAAGGTCAGGCTTGACAAAGCCCTGGCTGGGATGATTTAACTGGGAATTGGTCCTGCTTCGAGCAGGGGGTTGGACTAGATGACCTTCAGGGGTCCCTTCCAACCCTGATATTCTATGATTCTATGTCTTCAAACCAAGATTAGGTGTCTTTCTAAAAGATCTGCTCTAGTTCAACACAGGAATTCCAGAGTGAAATTCTCAAGCCTTTTTATGAGGGTCAGCTTGCATGATCAGTTTTCAAACTGTGGGGCACGCCCCAGGAGGTTATTGGGGAGCAGAGGGGGGCAGCGCAAGGACCTAACTGGTTAAGAACTTTTCTTGTTTCTTCAGAGTATTGTTGATAAAGTAAGAATTCCTCTCACAAGCTGAGTCGCCAGCTGCCGCTCTCACTGCCATGCTGGAAGATGAAAAAGGGAGGGAGGAGCAGCAAGGGTGCATGACCTCTCCCTTGGCAGGAGGGTCCCCATTCCAGCTCACTCGCCTCTACAGAGGGTGATGTGCAGGCGCCCCCTCTGGAGGTAGTTCCTCCCTGCCCAGACAGGCTCTTGCGCATGCACGCTGGGGATTGCACCAGAGCCAGAGGACCCTGTAGCCTGTGTGATTCTGTGGGGGTCCCAGGGTAGAGGTACAGCCCAGGTGTCTGTGTCCTGCTCAGATGCTTACAGCTTGAGAGTGGTGGGGCACCCCAGCCAGGATGGGCTCCCAAAGCTCAGGCATCCGTGGAAATACCATTTCTCAGGACACAAGACATGAATCTCCTGGGGGTGGGGGGAGCACGCAGCAAAAACATTTGAGAACCTCCAGCCTAGATGATCATTATGATCTGTTCTGGCCTTAAGATCCATGAATATCTATGTATTTAATTTAACATATTGTCCGTTCAATTTCTAATTTAAAAAAATACAATTTGATACTAAGGCTGGTGGAACAGCAGAAAACGATATTTATCAGTATTCATCAAATACATTCTTTGAAGGGTATTTCATCAACTACAGAGCTCATCAGATACCGCAAAACTTATTAATTGAATAAATTATTCACTTTATACTCAATTACATTTGTTGAGTGATGTTTGCCAGGTACTATCTGTGACAGACTGACAGTATCCTGGACAAACCTCAATAAAGTAAGTTAAACTTTATTGAATTAAGTTTAACATCTTTGGAATACATTGTATTAGAAATTAAAATGTTTATGTACTATTATGGGATTATATGGAACTGCTTTAACAAACAAGATTAATGCAATCTCTGAAAGGTAATAGGTACTTCAAAGGTCTTTTTGGAAAGTGTGAAATGGATTTCCTAGGAAGCCCACTGGGATGAGGGAATGTAAATTCTCCCCTCCAAGCCAACTTTTTGAAGATATCTACTGAGAGACAGATGTATTGGAAACTACAGATCAAAGACCCCTGAACTGTATAAAGGATGAACCGAACACGCTATGAACATGTTTGTTCTGACCTGACGTTGTGATGAACTGGTCACCACAAGGAATCCCCCTTGAACGGGGTTTGAAGGACAGTTGGTGCCAGAAGCCATGTTAGGGCTGGAGTTAATTCTGTTGGCTTATCAGCATACAGGTAGGCTCTTTTATTGCTTTTAATATGCTTTCTCTGTAATGCTTTTTATCTTACGAACAAAGTAGGCTTGCATAGGAAGTGCTGTGTGATACCTTGTAACTAGCAATTACACCCGTTAACGGTCTCTGAAAAGAAAGCAAACCGGTGACCCTGGGCAACCTGTCAGTTCAGGGAAACACAGTGGAGGTAGGGAAATGTGCAACCTGGACATACCCCAGTCCGAAGGAAGAGGGACGCAGGACTCCTCCAAAAAATGGTTGGGGTGCTGGAAGCCAAGAGTGGTGCCCTTGCTGGACCACTGAGGGGAAATATAAGTGCAGTTGCCCTGAACTATAACACTATCTGGCCAACCCTACTTACCGGCAGCCCTTGCTTTTCTTAAACCTTCTTTTCTTATGACAGATCATGCTGTACATTTTCTTGTGTGGTCTTCAGTGTCTCCCGCTTCCCTATCGTTTTTTCCTCCCTCTCTTCCATCCCGTGTTATTGTGGTGTCTACCTCCTCTCCCCAGAGCTGGCAATTTCCCAGGAAAAACTACTTTAGGACAGGGAGCTGGTAAATACTGGGCTTAAACCCAGTTTAAACCAGGAAACTGGGGAAAATAATTGCATCGGTGTTCAGCAAGCATAGAATGAATCTTTTCAAGCGTTGGATACATCCTTTCAAAACTGAGGAATAGGCTCAGTCTATCCACTATATCAAAGCTGGTCTTCTGCTACAGGACACTTTGTGGCCAATGGACCTGGACTGGTAGCCTGAAACTCTGTGTGCTTTTGATGGCTTAATGTTTCAAGCTTACAAATCTGCATTGTCGTTTTCATATAATCAAATGTTTTCAACTTTTCTTCATAAAATATTGAAAACTCAAATGAGTCATGATGTGTAATTTTCTTGAGAAAATACCAAAATGTATACAGATTTTATATTGTTCATTATTACAATTACATATATTCAGCTTATGACCACTGCAGTTTTACTTTGTATTTGTACAACCCTAAATTAACCTCTCAATCTACTGCCTTATGTAACTACAGCTGGAATAGGTAACTCAAACTAAGTGTAATGTGGTGTCATTAACAAAACCGTTTTTAAAATAGAAAAGGCCTTAAACTGGGACTAACAAGTTTTTCCCAGGCAAGTAAAAATCATAATTTTACCCGGTAAAAACCATGCCATCCCTAGTAAATACCATGCCATCCCTGCCTCTCCCATATTTCCTCCTGCCTTTCTTCTCCCACCTCAATCCCTAAAAATCTAATACCATATTTCTTTCGGAACGTCTCATCAATCTCTTCCTCATGTCTAGCCACTCACACCCCTACAGACACCCACACCAGGCACCCAATAGCTAGAGGACTCAAGTTTCTGACCACAGCAGGGCATTACTGTATAGAGGCAATGCCCAGGTGAGAGTCCAAGTGATAGGAAAGGAGATAGCACTGGGATCCCTACTGAGCGGATATCCCTGGACTCTGTTTGGAGCCTTTGTCTTTCACATTAGCCTCTAACTAGTAAGTGCCTGATAAATTTGAAGCCTTACCCCCACAAAAAAATCCTCAAGAGAAGAACCATTAGCATCCCCGCAAGCAACACCACAGTGAATTGACCCAATTCTTGTCAATTTCACTGTTGTCCATAGGATTCAGTAGAGCAGCAGTGAAGACTGGCACCACTCTGGTTGCAGTTTGGCAAAGTTCTGAGCAGCAACAGAAGCTCTGAAGCTGTCTGAAGATTTAAGATGACAGCATAGCATCATTTTACACATGGTTTAACATTTGGAAAGTGGCTTTTACCACCATAAAGGCTAAGTTTTGTTGTTTTTTTTTCTTTATAAATGAAAGCTTAGATTCAAAAGAATTTGATAGCACTCTACCAGGAGAATTCTCACTTGCCCTGGGTGAACATACTGTTTGAGCCCTGCTTGTTATTGTCATGGACCTCTTTAACCTTAACATCTAAGGCATATCCACCAACTGAAAAGACAGGAGAATTGTTTATTGAGAGGTGCAGGGCTATTTCTGATGATGACTTATTTTACCACCATCTGGATGATTGAGTGAATAGCATGTTAAAGAAATGCAAAGAATTTCTGAATTTATTTAATTAAGAATAGCAGAGCTATTTTAACCTAGCCTTCTGACTGCAGGAAAACAGGGGAGCCCATGCTACTCTACCGCTCCCTAGTCTCCATTTTATTAATATCCCTCTCCAGAAAATAGTAGAAGTATCTACCCTCCAAACAATGCTGAAAGCTTTCCCAAGCAATAACACAATGAAATTGAAACCTAATTCTTGTCAGTTTAACTGTTGGGACCTCCTGGCCTAGACATCATGTGTAAAAAAAAAATAAAATAAAAAGAGCGGTGAAACTGACAAGACAGGTTATTTTTCCACACTCTGGTGCAACTTGGCAAAGTCCTGTACAGCAGCAGAGGCGCCAGAAATGCATATGTACAGACTTAATAGATAGCATTACATTCTTTCACGCTCATTTCATCTTAGGAAGGTTATATTCACAAACAAAGGCCATTTTTCCTTTAAAAAAAAGTTTACACACTGCATTAGTTGATGGCACATGTAACTAACAAGTGAAAATAAGAAGTCTTCACTTATTGGCCAGAATTTGTCTTTACTAATGGATGATCGGACTGAGACAATCCGAGAAAGTTATTTTCCAGCTGGATAAAGGATCTCACCAGAAATAGGGCATAAGAACCAACGGCCTTTATTCCTAATGAAATACGTTTAGCAGAGAGGCAAGAGGTTGGAGTGGAAATAAGCCAACAGAATTACTCATTCTGGTAGAAGAGAGTGTAGTAGGAGGATAAAACACATACGTATTTCTCTTCGAACTTCCTAGCAAGAGCTTCCACTTTGTGTCTTTCCTTTTCTTCATCATTGAAGGGATCACCAAGGTCTTTCTTCTGTGAAAATGAGCAAAGGCAAACATAAGAATCGACTCCATCACACTGTCTGACTGAGAAGTCCCACCATGAGCGGAGCCTCTGGAAAGAAGCTTACACAAACCACCTTCAACATGCTGAAGAGCTGTTTTCAGTGGATATACTACTGCAGCTCTTTGCACAATGAGAGAACCATGTTAGGGGTTCTCAGGATGCAAGGAATAACCAGCAACAGAGAATATACACAAGGATTGAAAAATTTAACCAGACACCCACTGGCCAAGATGTCAAATTACTAGCCAAAAAGAGAGAGGCCAAAAAGGTGAAGTAAGCCTTCTATCACCTTTCATTGATGTTTCATGAGAAACCCAAGCCTCCATGGACAGTTACAGAGAAAAAGGGGAAAGGGGGTGCTGGGATTCATTCCAGGTCTCTGCTCATGGATTTCATCTTTTGTATTACTGCTGGCTAGCAGCTGACTAATCTGAATGCTCATTTTCTCCCTCCAGCAGCTAGAAGGAAGGAATTTGCTCTTGTTCTCTTCTCCAACTTGTTACATCCCCCCAGAGTCCTGGCTGCCACCCACACAGACGCATATGTTCTCCCCACTCTGCCTCCCCACGGCTTCTGTTCTTCAGGTCATCCTAACATGTAAATAGCCCCAGTGCCTGCCACTGCTGGTCCTCCGAGCTTTCTCAAGCAGCCACATGAAACCATCAGTTGACAGCCCAGATGGTTCTGGACAACAGACATGAAACTGACTAGAACTTGTTAGTTTTCCCAAGCAACACCATGTTACCAGCAGTACCACTGGACACATCCATTGCAGACTGAGGAAATCAATATTTGTACAGATCAAATTAACAACAATTCTAGCTCTTGCAGGGCACTTTTTGTCTTTTAGATCTCAAAGTGCTTTACAAAGGAGGTCTGTTTTAATTTTGAAGCACTTTGCATTTAAATTAGTCTTTAAAATTAAAGTTTAGTTTCTGCTGAAACCGACTGGTGAGCCCTCTTATGGAAAAAGTTTCCTACTCACTATTGGCAAGTGAATTTCTCAGGTGCTGACTGACAGCAACTTATGTACAAAGCAGGAATCAGAGAATGCTCAAATTGAAATATCTGTGTACAGTATGAGTCCGTCTCTCTGCAGACTCCCACTGTACAAGCTGTATGGAGAGGATCTACTTTGAATGTTCTTTTAAGGATATTCATGTTTCAAGCAATCCAGGTACCAAAAAAGCACTGCAGTCAGCCTGGATCAAGTCAAATCATCATTATAGGACATTGTCTGTTGTGCTTTCCAAACAGCGTTTTATCCATTTCAAAGGAAATTCTAATAAGGAAAAAATATAAAGGGAGTGCTGTCCAACAGTAAGTCATCCTGGTTTCTATTTCCAGTTCTATCACCAAGTTGGTGTGTGATCATTGACAAGTCATTTCACCTCTGTGCCTCAGTTTCCTTCCCCATCCTTAAAATAGGGATAAAACATACCCAGCTCCCAAGAGAGCCCCAAGAATTAATATTATGAAGCAATCTGAAATCTTTAGTTGAAAAGAGTACGTTATTAGATGCTCACCTTGTCTCCTGAGGAGACACCTTTCACTTTCCCTCGAGTATTCTTCAGAAGCTCTGGGTAGAAGAACTCTGGGCACCGTTTGTGATCTGGCTCAAATAGGGTGAGTGTGATGCGAACTGCTGCTGCAGCTGAGTCCTGGGGCTGCTCTGCTCCTGCAACATCCTCTTTACGAGGCTTCTTCAAGAAAGTGTTGCTTAGTGGACTTGGCAAAGAGGTGAACTGAACCCTGTGGGGCTCCGTCATGGCTATTATCAAGTCTTAACAGGTCTCATGGCATGGTTTCCATTAGTTCAGAGAAGTTCTGGTGAAACCTTGTACGTGTGCATACATGGGGACTGCAATTGCAAGGACAAACACAGAGATGTTTAAGAACACAGGAGCACATTGGAGGCAGAAAAGATTATTGGAGTTAGATGTTTCTATAAGGAATGGCAAAGACTGGCCTCTCAAAGCTTGCTGCATTCATCAGAGAAAGGCTGATTCTCAGAGCAGAAATACCTCTGAAGTTTGCAGTCCCCTACATTTTAATGTCTATCCATCTGTAACGTTACCGCTTTAATGCTGCAAAACTCCATTTCTACAGGGTGGAGAGAAAGGAAAACAATAATCTGGTGCACAGTGCAACCTCCAGAAAAAACAGTTTTAATGACTGAACGCTCCTTTGTCACAAACACTGGTCTGGACTGTGCCACGTTGCATCAGAGCTTTGCCCTCGATGGCAGATATCAAAAGTCAAGGAGAGCCAAATATACCCGCTTCTCCTCTGCGCTGTGCACATACACATGCTTGCTACTGTCAGATGCCTGGTCCATGCCCAAAGATCAGCACTCACGAGACTGCATCCCAAAGAGGCTTCTTCACATTTCTGACTGGAAAGGAAAATAAAGATCCACCTTAAAACCAAAAGGATTTTTTTTGAGGGGAAAACACCCTCCCCCGCCCCCAATCCAGCTCAAATAAGCGAGATTTAAAATAACACCCCGGCTCAGGAAAAAGCCTCAAAAAAAATCAGCTCCGTGACAACAGGTACCCGGCTCAGAAGCTGATCCCCAGAGAGCGTCCGGGCCACAAACCCAACGCGCCACAAACCCCCTGGGGGAGATACCAGCTGTCGCCTCACCTGCTCCACCCAGCCCCCAGGGAATGGGGGAGCCTATGGCCCAGCTGCCCTCTGCAGCCCCAGGGAACGGGGACACCCCTTCAGACCGTGCGTGTATCGGCTCCAAGCCCAAGGGAAGGAGACCCCAGACTGCCCAGGGGAGGGAGGCCCTTCAGGCTAGGTACCCCAATAGAGCCCAGAAAAAGGCAACGGGGGGCGGAAAGAAAGGGAAACAGCGGCTCTAGGGGCGGCACCAGCATCCCCTGCAGCTGGTGAGCCCGGGGGCGGCCAGGAGAGGGGCCGGGGCCGGGGCCGGCTACCCTGCGCCGCCCCCGGCGGGAAGCGGACGAGGCGTGGCCCCGTCACGCCGCGACCCGGGGGAGGTGCCAGTGCGCCAGGCTCTGCCCCGCTCGGGCTCGGACTCACCCCCGCTCCAAGCTTGGCCGCCTCGGCAGGCCCCCAGGCCGGATCCGTTCCCTGCTCCCGTATCACGTGCCGGAGGCGCTACCCCGCGCTGAGGTGGCCGAGTAGGGTCACGTGACACTCCCGAGCCCAATGGGCGAGGAAAGGGCAGTCACGCGCGGAGGGAGCGGCGCGGTGACCGCGCGCCCGGATCACGTGACGCGGCCTGCCCTATCCCGGTGGCACCGCCCCCTCCGCTGAGGCTGGCCGCGGCGTGGGTGGTGCCCCCCCGGCCCGTCCCGGCAGCCCCTGCGCCGTGCTGCTGCTGGTTGAGTCGGTAAGATGGCGGCTGTGAGTCTGCGGCTCGGAGACTTGGTGTGGTGAGTGTGGGGGCCGGGAGGCTGGGGCAGCGGGCGCGGGAGTTGGCGGGAGCTAGCCCTGTAGGGGGTGGGGGTCGGGGGGATACCGGAGCGCAGGTTGAGAGCGGGGACCGGATTAGGAGACCGGGGGCTGGGTGGGACTGGGGCGGGGGCGTTGCCGGGCTGTCTGTAGCGTTAGCGGGCAGACGTAGGGTTAGAGGGGAGGGTATAGGTGGGACCGCTGAGGGTAGGCGCCCGGGGTGGGGTAGGCCGGGCTCTCTCACCCTGAAGTGTTGGCGTAGGGGTGGGAGCAAGCCCCGCCTTCCCCATGTGAAGGGGCCCGGGCTGTTGTTCTGGACAGGTCAGGGCAGAAAGCAGGGTGAGAGCTGGGGCACTTGCACAGGAGGTGTCAGTTTAGAGCGGTGTCAGAGATGGTGCAGGGCACTGGCCTGTTGCCTACACATCACTGGGGGCAGAGAGTTGATGGGGGAGTTATAAGGGCTTTGGGGGGGCCAGAATAGGATCAGAGCCCCAATTGGTCAGGAGGTATTGGGTTGAGGACAGGGTGGGGTACAGAGCAATGGGTCTCTATTTCAGGGTGAAATGTGGGGCAGGCTTTGCCTGTGCGGTGGGTAATGTGCTGTTACCTGGGAGTCTTTAGGAGTAAAAGGGATAGAGAATGATTGCCTTAGCATTTTCGGAACTGGAAGACCGGGTGAGGCAACCATCTAGAAATCAGAAAAGGTAGAGGAATGAGGCAATGGGTTGATTGCTTGGTGGATGGTGCTGGATATACAGGAGTCACCTGGGGGTTGTGAGCAGAGCAAGGAAGGAGTGATCATTAAGATCTGGGTGTTGCTTATAGGGAGTGATTTATGTGATCAGCAACACAATATAGGAATGGGATTTTTTTTTCCAGGTTGGGCTATCCCTGTTGGAGCTCACAGGAGCAACTTTCCCCTGTCACCCGTGCTTTATCCCCAAGCGCAATTGAAGAGTCATGGTCTTTATACTTCCAGCTCAGGAGGACTGATGAGGCCTCCTTCAAAGCTTGTTAGCACTGCTCCTAAAGTGTTCAGGCTTCACTGTGCTTCTAGATTGCATTGAATGGCGGGTTAGACCTCACACGAGGGCCTGCAACAAATAGCTAATCCCCAACACGCAAGTGTATGCATTTATATTTATATCCCAGATAAAAAGAAGTGCGTGGTCCAGGCTGACAACTGCAGTTTCTCATCCGAAACATTGACAGTGGTGTGAAGTTTGTCTAATTTATATAGCAAAGTAAGTAAAGGTTGATTCCTTTAGCTGAACTTGTTTCAAATGAGTGTTTTGGGAGTGCACTGCTGTTAGTGATGTTTCTGAATGCAGATCATCCAGCTTGAGTTTCATACGTGGCCATGTAGACAAGGCACAGCTGCTAGGCCCACCCAAAAAGAACTATAGCCATAAGACTTGGAGGGAGATGGGAAAGGAGAAAAACCTTGATAAAAGGAGAATTGATGGATGCAACAGTAAAAGAAAGTCATGGTTAGTGTCCTTCTAAGCAGTGTTTCTGCCATTACCAGCTTGCCCTCCCTGTGGAATCCTCACCTCATGGATGTTGACATGCTACTTGCTGAAAATTTTAGTTCAGGAACTGGCAGGCGCTAAGGATTCTCTGCCAGTCTCATGCAAGACAGTGACTGATGCCAGATAAGGTTTTGTGAATATTTGTAGTTGTGTGAATGACAGGGGTAGGAAGACTATGCTTTCATGCTGACACCAATTCTCTCTTTTCCCCCACCCCTTTCTGTGAGGAAATGGTTTGGCTTAGACTTTGTGATGAAACTTGCAAAGGCAGGAAATAAACTTTTCTGTGTTTCTAGTGGACCTGCAGTATGTTTCACAAATCTTAGGTTTCAGAGTAGCAGCTGTGTTAGTCTGTATTCGCAAGAAGAAAAGGAGTACTAGTGGCACCTTAGAGACTAAGCTAGCACCTGGAAGATCAGTACTAAAGCTCTTAGTACTTTGGTAAGACTGAATGACATTTCTTTGCTCCCATACAAATGACTAGTTTAATTGCCTGCATCAATACGAAATAAATTGTTTAGTCTCTAAGGTGCCACTAGTACTCCTTTTCTTTTTTCACAAATCTTAGTAGCATGATGAGTGGCTGAAAAAAGAGTGATAATGGAAGTAACCTTGCAACCTTTGATATAGGAATTACTATCTTAAATTATAGAATAGTACATTTTAGGAATCACAGCTACCTGAATTGGAAACATATGATGCTTATTAGACTTTTTCTGTCCTGAAAAGTCTTAAGTTATCAATACAAACTCTGGATTTCGTATTGATGCAGGCAATTAAACTAGTCATTTGTAAGGGAGGAAAGAAATGTCATTCAGTCTTACCAAAGTACTAAGAGCTTTAGTACGGATCTTCCAGGTGCTAGCTTTACCACCTCTGTTCTTAATGACTTAGGCCCTGATCCTGTAATGAGGTACATTACCCATGTGGGTGGTCCCCTGTACCCATGCAGACTTCACTGGGGGTCAGCATGGCCACAGGCATCTGCTCACATGGCACTTGGGAGCATTGGTGAGTGCTCTTCCAAGCTGAACAGTTTTGTTCTGTCCTGGTAGGCTTTGTGGCTTATATTGTGTAAGTTCTAACTTTTGAAAATAAATTGCAGTAGAAGCAGGTAGAAGTGGAGCAACTGTCTTTTCTGTTGCTAGTGGCTGACCTTTTCATTTTTTCTTAGGGGGAAGCTGGGCCGGTATCCTCCTTGGCCAGGAAAGGTGAGTCTGCTTCTGTCCTGAAGGGAGCAGTTCATGAAAACAATTCCAGTGAAGATTTAAGATTCTTATAGTTTTCTTCTTTAATTTTTAGCTAAGAAGCTCTTTGGCCTTAATTGTGAACCAGACTATTCATCAGGGATTTTACTTGACTCAGAAGTTCAGTCTGTCAGTAGCAGCTGTTAGTTCAGATGGAATGAAAAGCAGTACAAACCAAATTGTCAGAATCTGGAACTGATTGTATCTCCCAGTCGTAGCAATTTAATCCCTATTGCTTTCTGCAAGACAGGTTTCTCTTCTCTCACAATAAATTGGCTAAATTGACTACATGCACTGTCTTAAGTAATAAACAGGAGAGGAAAGTCCAAATTCCCAAACTAATACTTAAAGTTACAGTTTTGTCATGTTCTTTGGGAGAAGACACTGGGTGATTGTGGATAAAAGTTCAAGATAGGGGAAAGAAGATTTTGTGTTTAAAGTCAGATTGCAGGCACTGTTCATATACCCCTCCCCCCCCACCCCAGAGTGTTCTATTTTCTGTTTTTAGTGTAGGTACATGTGCTGACCTAACAATATAGGCGTTGTCTTCACGAGAAAAAAAAGTGCATTCCTAACTTGTTAGCTTGAGTTAAAATCCAAAAGAAAACAAAGTAATTTGTAGATTTTAACTCAACCTGCTAACTCATGTGAAAGTCTGTGGTTTAACTTGTTCTGGTAACTTGCATTAAAACTACAACCACCTTAGAATCATAGAATCTCAGGGTTGGAAGGGACCTCAGGAGGTCATCTAGTCCAACCCCCTGCTCAAAGCAGGATCAGTCCTGAACTAAATCATCCCAGCCAGGGCTTTGTCAAGCCTGACCTTAAAAACCTCTAAGGTAGGCGATTCCGCCACCTCCCTAGGTAACCCATTCCAGTTCTTCACCACCCTCCTAGTGAAAAAGTTTTTCCTAATATCCAATACCTTGTCCACACTCGCATTTTAACTCTGAGAAAAACACTCTTTTCTGTACTGAAGACTTGGGCGATAGTTGCCTTATGGGAGCAAAGCTCTATAAACCCAGCGTGGCTTTTCAAATTTTAAAAAGATACTTTACTCCTAGGGGATAGGGAGAACCTCATGTTGCTGATCTTTTGGACCAGTGGAACCTCACTAAAATTCCACTGGTGCATCTGGGCAATGTGCCTGAGCCCATGCAACACAGGTATAACTTTGTAGCTTACAGTAAAGTTTGTTCATCTTTACTCACATCTGCCCTCTCTCTCAGGTCCAAAAGCCTCGCAACAGCCAAAGTCATGATTATTTAAAACAAAAGAACCATGAAAATCATGGAATTCACAACAGCTGTGACAAAAGTCCAATCTTACCTAAACAGCAGGCTAAGCCTATAATGTGATAGGGTGATTGTTACTCACAGCACTATGCCTGGAGTTAGTATCAAAGAAATATATGGATTGTGTGCTTGGGAGGCAGACCTTTGCTACCAGTACAAGCCCCTCCTTACCACCATTTTGCTTTAAAAATATTTTTAGCAAAGAATCTTTGAAGCAGATTTCTTGCAGGCATAGACCAAAAACTTTAAAAAGCCACAGAATTCTATTGCTGCCTCTCTAACCAACACTTGTCTCCTCTCTTTGCTCCTCAGATCGTTAATCCGCCTAAAGACCTGAAGAAGCCCCGTGGAAAGAAGTGCTTCTTTGTGAAGTTTTTTGGGACAGAAGATCAGTATGTACACACTCTCTTCATCTGATGACAATGTTGGCCTTTAAATCACAGGGCTTTCCTGG